AAAAATACATACAGACTAAAAGAAATATAAAAGTGTGTTTAGCCAAAAAGATCATTCTTACTATCTTGCACTTATAAAAAGCTAATGCTTGTCAGACTGTTACACATTTGATCCTCACAACACTCCTAGGAGATAGGTGGTAAGGTGCATGGCATTGCTGTTTCACAGATATGAAATTAAGACAGCAGGTTTGCTGTATAGAGTTGTGCATGTTGCTCACTGCACAAGGTCTTCCAATCTAGCAGGCCGGTGGGCACAGGGCTACAGCCACCTAGAGGAAGGAGTGCTGAGACAGAACAGGCACCAGACTTGTGCCCCCACACCCAGGAAATGGCTAACAAGCCACAATAACCCAGTCTTCTAGCATCGCCTGCAGGTGCTGCTTGCCATCAGAAACTAAGGCCAAATTCCAGAAGCCCCAAGCTCCAAACAAGCCCCCATGACCCAGTTTTCAATGAGTCTGATCCAGTTCAGACACTGTGCTAACCTTCCAGCACCAAAAGGGATGGACACTCCCCTGTGAAAACACAACCACCTGAGCCAAGATAGACCCAGTGGTGAATTTCCACTGAGTTTTCCCCTTATTCTAATACTAAAAATCACCCAGGGATAGGAACTTAACACGCTAATTAGACATGCAACTCAAGAAGAAGCAAGAAGCATTGACCTTTAAGTGCACAAGCCACCGCCCCCCCCCAAAAAAAAAAACAGAACAAAAGAAAAACCCACCCCTACACATTTGGACATCACCCTTTTCAGCCTAGGCCTCCTTAAAACCCTCCTAGACCTCTCCTTGGGAACCCAGCCTACAGACCCTGTGCCGTCTCCCTTCTGCTGGAGCCAACCCAATAAAGCTTTGCCAGGAACTCCCACTCAGCCCTACTCAATTTCTATGGCTACCCCAAGAGCCTGATTGGGTAACAGCCATTCTGGCTAATTTGCATAAATGCCCCCATTTACTTTCCACTAGCCCCATTTACTGGGAGCTCGTGGGGTCGACCAGTAAGATGGTGCCTCTTTCTTTCTTTTTTTTCAATTTTATCTAAATCCAAGTTAGTTAACATAGAGTGTAATAATGGTTTCAGGAGTCTAATTTAGTGATTCATCACTTACATGTGACACCCAGTGCTCATCCCAACAAGTGCCCTCCTTAATGCCCATCGCCCATTTAGACCATCCCCACACCCCTCCAGCAACGCTCAGTTTGTTCTCTGTAATTAAGAGTATCTTGCGGTGTGCCTCCCTCTCTTTCTCTTATTTTTCCTCCCCTTCCTCTGTGCTCGTTGTGTTTCTTAAATTCCACCTATGAGTGAAATCATATATTTATGTTTCTCTGCCTTTAGATGATACCTCTTCTTAATTTGCACTAGGGCCCGATACAGACTGGTGAAAACTGTGTCCCTAGGCCACCCAAAAACTGCTTTTAAAGCCAGTTCATGGCTTCAAGTAATGTAAGGCGAAAATTCTCACAGCAAACGGATTTATTGACATCTCATAATTTAGTGACTCACGTAGCCCCTTCCAGGGATCTCTATGGCACTCTCTGAAGGAGTGCTTTGTGAACAGAAAGAATGGAAGTGTATGGGGCTCAGGAGTGGCTGAGCCGGTTGAGCGTCTGACTTCGGCTCAGGTCATGATCTCACAGTCCATGAGTTCAAGCCCTGCACTGAGCTCTGTGTTGACAACTCAGAGCCTGGAGCCTGCCTTAGATTCTGTGTCTCCCTCTCTCTCTGCCCCTCCCCTGCTCGCACTCTCTCTCTCTCTCTCTCAAAAATAAATAAATATTTTTTAAAAATAAATTTTAAAAAAAGAAAGAATGGAAGTGTAGTATCATCTGCAGTGCTTACATCATTCCACTGCTAGGTCTTTTCTGAAAATGCTTTCCTTTCCCTGAAACTCTACCTTCCAAAATATCCTCCTCAGTCCTTATTTACTATGTGCCAGGCACTTTGCCAAGTTTTTTACAAGCAATCTTCCACACTGTAACTGAATGCAGCTAAGTGACTTCAGCTAGAAGACATTGGCACACAAAAACCACCCAGCTGAGCCCAGTCAACAGAATTATGAGAATGAAAGGTCTACCACTGCTTTAATCCACTGCATCACAGGGGTGATTTGTTACATAGCAACAGAAACCTGAGACACTATATTCTCTCACTGTACCACACATCAAAGCTATACCCCTACATCAGGCACAACGGGTCCACCAAGATAAAATAAGTCCTGAGAATAGACAGAAGAAAACTGAAATTGGATAAAGAGCACAGCAAAGATGATTCTGGAACATTTTATCCCCTCAGGAGTCATCGGAATGCCTATTATGTGGAAGGCAGCACAGTCTGGGGGACTAAGGGTGTAGACTTAGGATTCAGATGCGCTGAAATCTTGGCTCTCCCAGCTGCTGGCCATGGGAACTTGGAAAAGATTCTCAAATCCTCTGAATCTCAGGTTTTCTACGTAATGAAATGGAAGTCAGTCCTAACTGCTTGCAGCTGCTGGAAGAGGTAAATACCATAATGTATGAAAGCACTTCCTCCCCCTCTCCTTGCCTGAGAAAGTCCTACTCACACATCAGCCATCATTTCACACAGGCCATTTGTTTGACAAAGCCTTTCCTCATGACCACCCTGCGGGACCTTAGCAGGCCTTCCCCGCTATATTTGGTCCCAGTAACATAAACTTTCTCTGTAAATACATATCATCAATTTTAAGTATGTATTCATCTGTTGGCCATTTATTTTTTTTTTATTTTTTTTTTTAACGTTTATTTATTTTTGGGACAGAGAGAGACAGAGCATGAACGGGGGAGGGGCAGAGAGAGAGGGAGACACAGAATCGGAAACAAGCTCCAGGCTCTGAGCCATCAGCCCAGAGCCTGACGCGGGGCTCGAACTCACGGACCGCGAGATCGTGACCTGGCTGAAGTCGGACGCTTAACCGACTGCGCCACCCAGGCGCCCCATGTTGGCCATTTATTAACGTCAGCCTCACTTACTAGACACCATCAGCCCCACGAAGAGGGTCTATCTGTTGTGTCCTAGCACCGAGCCCAGTACAAAGAAGAAAAGCATTCAGCCCAGAAGCATGACCACATGAACAATACTCTCTAAAAGAGAGCATGCCATTGTGCTATGTGCTTCTGCAGGCATGAATCTAATGAGAGAAAAAGAGATGTGCAGCAGTAACTATCCAATGCTGGAGAAGATAGTCAATGATTTTGAGCTGGATCAAGTGCCCTTCCAGGTCTGACAAGGCAAAGATCAGCTCCTGAGGAGTGCAATCCAGAAGGCATTCCAAGGCAGCAGTGGCATTAGAGAATCCACACTCCCAACTTCCTAAGAAAAAATGGAGAGTTGATGGGGTGCCTGGGTGGCTCAGTCGATTGAGTGTCTGACTTCGGCTTAGGTCATGATCTCACAGTTTGTGGGTTTGAGCCCCGCTTCAGGCTCTGTGCTGACACCTCGGAGCCTGGAGCCTGTTTGAGATTCTGTGTCTCCCTCTCTCTCAAAAGTAAATAAACATAATTTTTTTTTTTTTTAATGGAGAGTTGGCTGTTTCTCTTTTGGGCCCAGAAGTCTGGCCTAAGGCAAAGTCTACACTAGATCCACAATTCAAGCTTTCATTCATTTAGTCATTCATCAGTTATCCGATTTTTAGTGAGCACCTACTAGCTGCTAGGCACTATTCTAGATACTGAAGATCTATCAACAAGCTGACATTCTCCCCCAAAAAAGACTTCTATGGCAACACCATCCTACAATCCTTGGCTTGGGTCCCGAACTGTATCACCTCCTCATGTGAAGGTCAGGTATTATCACTTAAAAAATTAACTTCCTCGGGACCTGGGTGGCTCACTCCATTGAGCGACTGACTTCAGCTCAGGTCATGATCTTGTCATTCATGAATCCAAGCCCAGGGTTGAGCTCTGTGCTGAAAGCTCAGAGCCTGGAGCCTGCTTCAGATTCTGTATCTGCACACAGCACCCCCACCCCCACCCCCGCTGTCCTGCGCGCGCGCTCTCTCAAAAATAAACAAACACTAATTTAAAAAAAATTTAACTTCCTCTCCCCTTATCTCCCTTTGATGGCTTGTGGGTTGTATAAGGAGTGCACTGCTTGGTGGCTGCTACCCAAGGCAAGTTACAAGCCTGGCAAACCTTGTCTAAGAACATGAAAGCTGAAGGGGAACCTAAAGTATCTTCTGATACAACACTCTTAGAAGCAGAAACTGCGTCTGAAGAGAACAGACGCTTGACCAAGTGAAGGAACTAAAGGCAGAGACAGACAAGAGTCCAGGAGTCCCAGCTCCCTGGCCTGGGTGCTTTCAATTTCTCAACGAAATTTCCCCTTCTATTACCATGAGCACAGTCCTCGGAGGAGCCCTGAGAAAAGAGGGCCACTGAACACCGAGACTGGGGTGTAGTTAGAGCAGCAGAAACAACTACAACACTTTAGAGGCCTTCCATCAGTGACTTTCCATTAATTATCTCACTTGAGTCCTCGCAACTAACCCTTTCACTTAGTACTATTATGTCCCCATTTCACAGATCACAAAACCAAGGCACAGAGAGGGTAAGCAATCTGCCCCAAGTCCCACAGCCACCTCCACTGGGATGATAGAGCCACAATGCTGGGAAACCTAGGGTGATGGCTTCCGCGGTCCCCACTAGCTTTAAGGGGTCCATGAGGTACTAGAACGATCCACAAGTCCTGTGCAGCCTCAAGCAGGCTCCAGAACTTGCGTTCCCTGCCACTCTGGGACAGGGTGTGAACGTGGCGCCGCGCACCACGAAGGGGAGCCCTGGAGGAAATCCACTCCCACCCCCGCCCTGCATATCCCGAAGCGAACCCCGCAGCTGGAGCGCGAGAAGGGGAGGGGTGGGGGGGGGAACTCCCGCGGGGGGTCGGGGCGGGGGCCCGGACAGGGCCGGGCGCCCCGAGCGCGGACGGCTGGGCCAGGGCTCCCGGGTGCCGCGCGTCCGGGCCGGAGTGGGCGGGTACCTTTCGGAGGAAGCTGGCGACCACCTGCTCGAAGGGGTACTTGTACACCTGGCGCACGTCCACCGTGACCCCCATCCCCGCGCGCCGGGCGCCGGGCTCGCCCCGGGCCGCAGGCGTCCACACCCGCCCCGCCGAAGGGGCGAGGGTTTGTTTTTTTTTTTTTTTCCTGCCTTTTCAAACTTTCGAAACTTTATTGTCCCCCCCCCGGAGAAACGGACAGGCAGTCGCGCCCCGCCCCCTTCCGCCCCGCGGTTTGTGGGCGGCGGGTGGAGCGGGGGGGGCGCAGCTGCGGCGGCTTGGGGCCCGCGCGCACCTGAAGCGGCCCGCCCTGCCAGCAGGGCCCGTGACCCCACCGCTCCGCGCCCCGCGGCCTGGCCCTGAGCTCCGGTGCCGTCCCGCCCCTGAGCCTCGCACTCAGCAGCCCTAAGAAAAGGATCATAAATATGGAAACAACCACCCGCCCTCTGAGATTGGCTTGTAATCTAACCCCCCTCCGTGTTGCTGAGGCTGGTGTGACAAAGGTCAGCGACTGCGTGACTCACACGATCCCGGCAGCCGCCTCAAAAGCTGTAAATTGGGTCTCAAATTCGGTAAAAATTGCCCGTATCCCCAGGGAGTGTTCGGGAAATAACGGTGGCTTGGCACGTCCGGCGCTGTAAGGAAATTCCTATGCTCCTTAAGTTGAAACACCATGAAGCCTTTGTTGCTACAAAGACGCACGAAAAGAATATGACCGCTTTTCACGGACCTGTACAGATTTTGCAAGAAGGAGCAAGTGAATCCACTTACTCAATAAGTTAGTCAACATATTCCTGGAAAGAGACTCCGCGCCAAGCACTGTGGCAGGCATGGTCCCCGCTGTCAGGTGGGATGAGTGAGCCCGGCTATGTAACACCCAATGAACAAAACAGGAAAACAGACAGGATAAGGGATTAAGGTTATGGGACTGGGGCCCGATGTTAGCTAGCATGAATGAGGAAGGTCTCTGAGGTGGTGACTCTGACATTTATAAATTTATAATCTCGCTGGCCACCGACACGCACAGTCATACTGGTGTTACAAATCTTACACTTGGGTAAATCCAGCTCTCCATTACTCACAGCTTCACTCCCACCCTTGCAAGAGACTGGAGGCAAATCTACACCCAATATAACAGGCCTCCTTTTAAGTTCATAACCACTAACCTCCAGGGGCCTTTTAATGGTGCTGGACAAAAAAAAACAAACAAAAAAAACCCTCCATTTCTCTAATCCACTAACTGTCCCACAGTCTTCTCACCTCAAACCCCCAACACTTCCCAGCCTTATTCTCAGGCGACTACCTTGCTTCCTTTTTCACTTAGTAAATAGGAAACCTGCCTCTACCACATCTATCTACCCACCTGTCCAAATGCCCTGCCTTCTCTCCTACTTTTTGTTTTGTTTCGTTTTGTTTTAAGTAGGCTCCACTCCCAGCAAAAACACAGGGTTTGAACTCATGACCCTGAGATCAAGACCTGAGCTGACAAAAAAAAAAAAAAAAAGACCTGAGCTGAGATCAAGAGTCCGACTCTTAACTGACTGGGCCCATCCAGGCACCTCTCTCTCCTATTCTTGTGTGTGAACTGCCAGCACTTAGTTTAGGGCCAGTTTCTCCACTTGACCACTGAATCCAGCAGTGGGCTAGCAAATGGTTAACCAACAGCTCTCCTTTAAAAAACAAAAAAACAAAAAAAAACACCAGGGACCCCTGGGTGGCTCAGTCGTCCGTCAGTCGTCTCAGGTCGTGATCTTGTTGTCTTGCCCTGCATTGGACTCTGTGCTGACACCTCAGAGCCTGGAGCCTGTTTTGGATTCTGTGACTCACTCTCTCTCTCTGCCTCTCCCCTGATCACTCTTTCTCTCTCTCTCCCTCTCTCTCTTTCAAAAAATAAATAAACATTAAAAAACAACCCAGAGAAGGCCATGACTGCTAACAATTGCAGTTTCTGCTGTGTAAATACTCCCACCACGGCCAACTTCAAACTAGCAATGTGATGTCACAAAACATGGGGTTAGGAAGACAAGTGCAGGAAGGCACTACTGTGTGGCATTTCCACAATCCACATGTAGTAGACGTAACTGCAAGAACATAGTTAATGGAGCCAATGCAAACGTGATAAATAAGAACGAGCCTGGAGATATCACAATTCCAGATTTCGAGATCTACTACAAAGCTATAGTAATCAAAACAGCATGGTACATACACTGTTGGTGGGAATGTGAATGGGTGCAGCTGCTGTGGAAAGCAGTGTGGAGGTTCCTCAAAAAATTAAAAATAGAAATACCATATTGGGGGGCCTGGGTGGCTCAGTCTGTTGAGCATCTGACTTCAGCTCAGGTCACGATCTCACAGTTTGTGAGTTGGAGCACCTCAATGGGCTCTGTGCTGTCAGCTCAGAGCCTGGAGCCTGCTTTGAATTCTGTCTCCCTCTCTCTCTGCCCCTACCCTTGCTTACCCTCTGTCTTTCTCTCTCTCTCAAATAAATAAATAAACATACATTAAAAAGAAATACCAAATGATCCAATAATTCCACTATTGGGTATTTACTCAAACAAAATGAAAACACTAACTCAGAAAGATATATGCACCCTATGTTTATTGCAGCATTATTTATAATGGCCAATATAAGGAGGCAACCTAAGCGTGCATCAATAGACAAATGGATAAGGAAGATGTGCCATGTACACACACACACACACACACACACACACACACACACACACACACAGGGATATCATGCAGCCATAAAAAAAAAAGAGGTTGTGGCATTTGAGACAACATGGATGGACCTACAGAGTATTATGTTAAGTGAAATAAGTCAGACTGAGAAAGACAATTATATAATTTCACTCATTGTGGAATCTAAACAAAAATTAATAAACAAATTTAAAAAGCAGAATCAGACCTATAAATACAAAGAACCAATTGATGGTTGCCAGAGCAAAGTGGGGGTGGGTGGGTGGGGGTGGGATGGGTAAAATGGGTGAAGGGGAATGGGAGATATAGGCTTCCAGTTAAGGAATGAGTAAGTCACCGTAATAAAAGGTACAGCACAGGGAATATAGTCAATGATATTGTAACAATAATGTATGGTGGCAAATGATAGCTACACTTGTGATGAGCATAGCATAAGGTATGGAGAAGTTAAATCACTATGTTGTACACATGACACTAATGTAACACTGTGTCAACTATACTCAAAAAAATCCTTCTTTAAAGATCATGGTGAGGGGCCCCTAGGTGGTTCAGACAGTTAAGCAACCGACTTGATTTCAGCTCAAGTCATGATCCCAGGGTCATGGGATTGAGCCCCGTGTTGGGCTCCATGCTGGGTGTGTAGCCTGCTTAAGATTCTCTCTCTCCCTCTCTCTCTCTGGTCCCGCCCTCATGCTCTCTCTCTCTCTCTCAAAATAAATAAACATTTAAATAAATAAATAAATAAATAAATAAATAAATAAATAAATAAATAAAGTTAATGGTGACTGTAATGCAATTTGGAAGGGCTGGGTTTGGAATACCTATTACCTTTTTAAATATAGTTCATTTAATTGTAAATTTATATAATTTAATATTTAATAATATCTGTGCTTAAGATCCAGCTAGTAGGATTCAGAGCACAGTAGCCCAAAATACGGCAGTTTGGCATATTGAGTATCTTAAGCTGAAGGAGTTTGGGGAAATGGCAGGAGCAGGAAGTTCTCTGACATTCCCCTCGCCTTCTCTCCCGAAGCACATCATAAGATCCTCTTGTGAGAAATGTCCTTTGTATACCAGAAGGAAAGTAGCATCCTTCTCTCCAGGACGGGAGTGCTACCCAGAAGAATGCACACAAACAGGCCTTGCCAAGTTTCCCCACAGTGACTACGCTTACTTTATACGCTTTGTCCTATGATATTTCTACAGTCCTACTCCCTCTTCATCAAACCTTGTGCAAAACCCTCAGGTATGACCATTTCTACAGGTCTTCATTTCTATATGAAGGTGCCCATGTCCCATAAAACTTACAGTAAATCAATGTGTATGCTTTTCTTCTGCTAATCTGTGTCAGGTTTTCAGACTCAGCCAGGGACCCTGAGAGGGTCAAGGAAAACTTGACCTACACAGCTGTACCGCATCACTAAAAAGTTCCCGCCCTCTTTCTTGTTCAAGGACATCTCTCTAGCCATACCCCCCCCCACCCTTTCTCACATCATCACTTTTGCCTCTACTGGATCATTCCAACTAGCACACATACATACATACATTGTGATTTCTTCCATTTTAAAAAAAAATCCACTCTTAACCCCATACCATCCTCCTGATCTATCCCAATTCTCTGGTATGTTTTTGCTCTTCAGAAGAGTTGCCTATAATCTCTTGAACCCATTCCAATCAATTTGGGACCTTTCCAGTTCACTGAAACTACTGTTGGCAAGGTCACCAATGGCAAAATTGCTAAATTCACTAGTCAATTCTTAATCCCCCACCTTACTAAACCTCAGAGTAATGTCTCCTTGAATTACTTATCAGGTGTGGGGTGGAGGGTTAGATGTCAAAGCCCTTAAAAGTTGAATGTATGGCGGTACCTGGGTGGCTTCATCGGTTAAGCATCCGACTCTTGACTTCAGCTCAGGTTATGATCTCACAGTTCTCGAGACTGAGCCCCCGTGTCAGGCTCCATGCTGAGGGTGGAGCCTGCTTGGGATTCTCTCTTGCTCGCCCTCTGCCCCTCCCCGACTCATGCTCAAGTTTGTATGCATGCTCTCTCAAGATAAATAATCTTTAAATATATATATATATTTTTTAATTTCTTTATTTAATGTTTATTTACTTTTGGAGGAGAGAGAGACAGAGTGTGAGTGGGGGAGGGGCAGAGAAAGAAGGAGACACAGAATCCGAAACAGGCTCCAGGCTCTGAGCCGCCAGCACAGAGCCTGACGTGGGGCTCGAACCCACAAACCGCGAGATCATGACCTGAGCCAAAGTTGGACGTTCAACCGACTGAGCCACCCAGGCACCCCAGAAAATATTAAAAAAAAAAACTATTGAATGTTATGTAGAAAGCAACGCTACTATATCACAAACCCCTTCTTATAGAAAAAACAAATACCAGTCGCCCTGGGGGACTACCGAGGCCCACAATAGAGAGATAATTTAC